TTTTTAGGAGGAGGAGGAGGAGGAGGAGGAGAGGGAGAGAGAAGAAGAGAGAGGGGAAGGGGAAAGGAGAAGACCGAAAGAAAATTGAGATACAGGAGATAAGAGGGGGAGGAGAAGGAGGGGGGTCCACCAGAAAGGAAACAAGATCCAAGAGAGAAGCAGAGAAAGAGGAGGAGAAGCGAAAGAAGCGAAGATGGAAAAGGGAAAGGGAAAGAAAGAACAAGCAGGCAGAGATTGGGCGGTGGAGAAAATTCCATTCCGTTGTGGGAAAAACTCTTGGCGCCGCTTCTGCCGTCGATAAGTTGACTGACTGTGCAGCTTGGGCTTCCTAAGATGCTCCTCCGTCTACACCAACTCAGCAATACAACGAACAATGTCAACAGCAGCAACAATAACAACAATCAAAAGAAAAGAAGCAGCTCAACAGCAGATTAAATTAATGTGCAAGGATCGACCGCTCCTATGGGCGCCCAGCGGGGAATAATCGTATTTGACATCAAGTCGTAGAACATACAGCCACCACCACAACCATCACCCTTCTTCCCTCTTGAAACATGATATTACCACTACAAAGACTCGGAGAAATGTCATGGAAGGTAGAGTCGGCGCTCCAACCCACCCCAACAGGCATCAAATATGCGAACGGTCCCCATCAGTGGATGTGTGTTGACCCGCTTGCATATAACACGCCCTTTTCTTCGGGTCGTTTTCGCTCTCACACCATTCACTTACAACACCAGGCGCAGTCCCACAAACAATGCGGTGGCCAACAGACCGGTGGCATGCTCCTGGGCCAAACGAACGGCGGCGTTGGCCGTGGACGAGCTGCTAGTGCTGCTTGAGGTGCTGGTCCCGGTAGCCGTGGTCGATTTGTCAGAGCTAGTGCTGGTGCTAGTAGCGGTGGTCAAGCTGGTGGCGCTCGAGGTGGTGGACGAGGTAGTCGAGGCAGCCGACGCGTTCAGGGTGCCACAGGTCTTCTCATAGTCCTTACAGTGCTCCTCCTCAGTCAAGCTGGACGAGTTGCTAATGCACTGGGCATAATTGGCCTGACAAACGAAGAAGGGGACGGTCTGCGCATAAAGCGCCACGTCGGCGGCAGAGCCGTTGGAGCAGATGCAGGAGAAGTCCAAGGTAGTCTGTCGCGACATGGTGAGCGTTTCGTTCTTTTCAATTGGTTCGGCTATGCGCTTACCGAATCGCAGGAGTTGCTGGTAGCGACTCCACCACAAATCTCAGGGCAAGAGTTGCGCTCCGCAGTACACCAAGAGGCTAGGATCAGCGAGTCAGTAGAGGGCGAGGAACACGGCATTGCATACTAGCATACCGCGGGTGCCAGAGGAGATGGCGTTCAGGTCGAAACCATCAGGTAGAGTATAGTTGCCGGTAGAAGCGGCGGTGGCCGAGGCGACCAGACCGAGGGCGAAGAGCGAGGAGGCCAACATGTTGATGAAAGTGATCAAGTAGATATTCGAATGGGCGAGAGTAAGAGGTGATGTGTATATCACAGTCGCAGTAAAGAGACTTGCAAGGTAAGAAGAGCCGGTGATTGGTAATTGTACGTAGACGTTATAAAAAGACGCTGCTATTCTGTGGAAGGGGGGGGATTTGGGGGAAGAGGGAAGGGCCGAAGTGTAACAAGGAAGAAGAAGAGAATAGAGGAGAAGAAAGGAAGGGAAGGAGGAGAAGGAGAAGAAGAATTGAAGATAAGAGAGCAGGAAGAGAGGAGAAGAGAAGCTGAAGGAAAGAAGCTAAGCCAAGAGGGTAAAGCAGTAACAGCAGCAGCAGCAGCAGCAGCTAACAACAGCTACAGAGTACAGTACAGTCACAACAACAACAACAACCATAATAATGATAATACGGCGGAGAGGAGAGAAGGTGCGGTGCTACAGCCAGTTAAGATCCCTTCCTTCTCCAGTCTTCCTCTGCATACCTGAGTTACCGGTAGTTACCTAAGTTACTTAAGTGAGTGACTGACTTAGTTTGTGTATTCCTCCTTTTTAAGATTTTTTCTCTTTTTCTTTTTTCTTTTTTTTTTTTTGGTTGCTTTAGGTTCTCCCCTTTTTTCCTATTACATGCGCGCGCGCTCCTCCTCGTCTTCTTTAATTCCCAAAACTTTTTCGAATTATGGTCTTCATTTATGGTTGCCGCATGGTCTCAAAAACAACGACTTCCACCCCGACTACTGTACAATCAGTAATAATCAGAGTGGGAATTTTCGGTGCCACTAGTGAGTAGCCTAAGATGACTAGTCTATTCCGTAGTCAAGGATGAATTGAGGAGATGGAGACAGCCCTGGCACTCACTGACTGGATCATGGATTCTTTTCCCATTATTATCCGGCGGGAAATTATTAGTATGGCTGGTGCCTTGTTTTCACGCTGTCTGGGTATTGATTTGATTGGTCAGGGCTGCCCTAGTATGCGAGGGGAGCTTCGAGTTGATATGAAATGAGATGAAATGAAAGAGCAACTCGTTGAGTGCCACTCGATGCTTTTCCAGTTGAGACCGTGCGTGCGTGCAATGCGCAAGATGAACGAACTCACTCCTTCCTGCAGCTGCAGCGGAGGGAGGGGAGGGGAAGGGAGGGGGTCATTTCTCCTATTCTCTCGATTCATGGTGTTACCCAGTCTCCGTATACATCTACGTAGAGGTCAGCCGATGCTCCTGGCTTTGGGCAAAGAATGTTGCCCAGCCCAGTGGTATGAATGAGAGAGGGTTGGTGGAACCACCGCAGTGCGTTGATAAGCAGAGGCCAACTGGAAGACACCATCTTCCAAGGCCCAATTGAGTTTGGGGGCCTTGGTTTAGGGCCGGCGCTAGAGAGTTTGTTCCTGCCCTGCTGCTACTGGTCATACACTGGCGTGAGTGGTCTCAGGCCCCAATGATTGGCGTAGATTATTTGAATGATTTGTATGAGACAGACATAGCCGCCCACTCATCAGTTATCGGAAGAAAGAAATATTGAACTTCAAAAGTGATGCCAGTAAGTGATTTGCTATTACTGTCTAGATAGGTAGTACAGTACCATTACAGTAAGTGAGGTACAGTAGATCACCCGAGGAGTTCCGCAGCCGAGGATCCAAAGCAGAAGCAGACCCGCTAGTTATACTCCCGATACATACTACTGTACGATGTAAGATCACGGGGTCCTCGATCACTGTCTGTATTGTGTACGCAGTACTCCATACAGGACATAGTGTTGCTTTTCTTCATGCTCTCTGTACCTTGCATCCCACCGCGGGGAGCTAAAGGACAAACCGAACAAACATCTCGGCGATGGTGCTAACCTGCGGAGTACGGTATAGTACAGTACAATACTGTACAGGCACATGTCTTTCACAGGATGTAGGTTGTAATACACCTTCTTACCATACTCAACCACAACCTGAAGAGTCCCTCCTCTTATCCAGATAAGAAGAATACTTTTCTTAACTTCCTCTTCTCTATCGCATCAGTACCACTACGGGGCAATCAGTTCCGGACTTTATACTCTACGCACTTCTTTTCTTTCTCCTGTCCCCTTTCTTCCACAACCCCATATCTCAACCCCACGTCATGTCCCCTTCGATCTCCATTCTCAAACAACCACATCCCCCCGCCCTCGAACCATTTCGGGCTGCCGTTCCCCCGGTGCTGACCCGGTTGTTGCATCATCCCGAATACTTTCCCATCCGCACCTGGTCACGCATTTTCAAATCCGAGTCAGGTGAGGATGGCTATTTTGCCAGGACACTGGCCTCCCCATTGACGATTCCCCATGTCTGCACCCTCCGTCGCCAACCGGAACTGCTCGCACCCCTCCCTGATATTGCTCCTGTCTGGCCCGCTCCCAACTCGGTGTCTCAAATTGAGAACCCAGATCTCTACTTAGTCTTGCAGCTAGCGACGCCAGGGATCTCCGGTCATCCCTCCACCGCTCATGGCGGTCTCTTGGCGACCTGCATCGATGAGGCCATGTCCTATGCCGTCGCATTGCACGCCCCGGAGACAGGCGCCGCCGGGGCTCTCTCCGCCCACCACCCGCGCGGCATGCTGTACACTGCCCAGCTGGACATTCGTTATCGCGCACCCGTCGCCGTCCCGGGCTATGCGCTTGTCCAGGCCAAGGTATTGGCGCGGGTAGGTCGCAAGTTCTGGGTGCATGCTCAAATCCTACAGCCAGGCGAGGCGGACGAGGACCCGCTCCGCGTTACAACCGATGCAATTGCCTTTTGGCTTCAAACGAAAGCAGCCTTGTGAATCGCGTGGCGTCTCAGGTGCGATTCTAAAGAATTCAAGGCCTCGCACAGCAAAGACCCTGCTGATCGAATGCGAGTCCTTGCATTTTTCTTGCACATATTAATGCTACTAGATAGATTTATGTATATCTCTTCATTTGTCTACATACCTTTACTGAAGATAGAGATTCTTTATTTATTGACATACACACTCGAGACCAGCCCATGACATTGGCCTCCGAAGACTTCTACAACTTCGGCCGACGTCCTAGATTGCGGCTCGCACTCACCACCAAGCCCACCTGCGTCGCCACGGCCACCACCTGCCCTGCTGCATCCATCACTGTGACCCCCAAGTCCGTCCGACCACCCCGCACTGACACGGTTTGCACTCGACTGTATAACCAGGCCTCCCCCGTAGCTGGCAACCGCTTCTTGAAATCAATATTCAAGGCCACCGTCGGATACCAATGCCGACCACCAGCCTCGCCGCCGCCTTCTGCCGTCGCAGCCCTCTGATCCAGCCCAGACAACGCGAGCGGGAATGTATCAGTCAGGTACACCAACGCTTCGTTTGACCAGCGCGCCGTCTGATCACCCTCCGGTCGAAATCGAGCCCACTGATCCACAGCCGCCATGGTTGTGGGCTGTCGGGGACTGTACAAGTCAACATGCTGCGTCGCGCGCCGGAATTCAGGAAACGGGAGTTGGATCCGCTCCCACTCGCCATCGCGCCCTGACCCCCCCAACGCCACCAGATCGACACCTCCATCTGGCCGTGATCCCCGTGCCGGCATCGGCAGGGGCGCCCAGCCCGTTGGGGCCGTCAACCCAACCTCCGCGTGAGCGGGACTGACTGTGATATACCCCGCTATCTTGAGCTCTTGCTCTTCCTGGACGGCACCCTCCGAACCGACCCCTCTGCCCGACTGCTTAGGCTGTGTCAGGGTCACGTGCAGCGTACTCGTCCGCGACCCGATCTTGACATCCTGTACGTTCAGCAGGGCAGGTCCCACCGCCGTCCGGCGCAGAAAGGTCAGTTGCATGGCAATCGGCGTGGCGGGACCACGATACTGCAGCGGATGTGTATGAGCAAAGTGTGTCAGCGCCAGGCGGTAGAGGATGGCACTCGTGTAGCCTCCATGTGGCACTGTTTATGGTTCCTTGTCAGTGTATCCGAGGTAATATGGGACGAGAGCGAAAAAGTGGCGCCGCTGCCTATCGATAACCTCCAAACAATAATAGGCATGATCTCTTACCAGCTCCGATGCACCAATCCTGCCGGAGATAGGCCGAGTATTGATGCGAGTTAATGGGGTTTACTTGGATTGCGGCCTCAAAGGCGGTTCCATGCGGAGGTGCTACCACCATGTCGTTCGTTGGAATTCGAACGCGCTCAAATTCTTTCCCCTTCGTATGGTACTCAAGCCAGCGGCAAAATCCACAGACCGGTAATATTGATTTACAAAACAAGCCGTATGTTCTGCACCTAGGACTTTATGAATTGAGGAAGAAATAGGGAATAGGGAATAGGGAATAGGGAGTAGGGACAAAAAATAGACGAACTCTTGAGACGGGGATGGGAAGTTACTCACAGATGTCGCAGTAGCCGTGAACCTCGGCTGTTGAACCGTAATGAGAAGCGGAGAAAACACCCTTCCCTGGGTCGGCGAGTTGTAGTGTACTATACTGTATCATACTGTATCATATTATACATTAATATACACACTAATCAAAAACTTTCAATATAAGTATGCTACATACATAAGTTTTGATACACTCAAATCAATGTAAGTCTTCCTACTTGACTATGGCTTCCATTGACTATTCTAAAAACAAGGTCGGTCTACAGTAAACGCAGGACTTCAACTCAAGGAACAATGCAACCCGGTCCTCTCTGTCCTCGGCATCAGCCCATTCTCGTCACCGACCGCTTTTCTGGTCCCTGTATTCGGTTTGTCTACGAAACCCGCATATCTGTCCTTGCCATGATATTGTTAGGCATGGTACAGTACGTCCGCGAATAGAAGAACCCTCCGGTTGGCCAACCACCTTTTTCCATGTATCCGTGTGCTCATGCCTATGCAAATGTGAAATGATATGTCCTGTAATCGTGTCGTCGTGTGCTTATCGATGTATACGTCATCGCGTCTGTGTATGGGTATGTGCGGGCCCGCATTGGGATATGCATGGAGTCATTTATGACCTGTGCTCAGCCAATCGTTCCAAGCACGACAAGACTCCTATTGAATGAATATATTAGCCACTTGTCACAATCACGTAAAAGCATGCAGAGCTAAAAGCCTTACCAGTTACACCTTGGGTTAGGGTAGCCCTGGCTTCAGTGCTCCGAGAGCCCAGTGTAACCGTCACGGCGTGGGTGACCGCTTGTGCGCTCTCCAACTTATTAGCCCATCGAAATACAGGCTCGTCGTCGCGACTGTCTCCAATTGCCAACAAGAAATCCGGACGGGCCACGCTCGGATCTTCTTGACTCTGCTTGAGACCCGACCGCCACACCAGTTCTGTCGCCGACGCTTTGTTCGTACCCATCGGCTCGACCACAAGAGCTCCTTCCACAGGAATGGCATGGACGCCCTGGTTGGCGCAGGCATCGTTGATGTGCCCGGCGCACTCTGACGCCAGTCGTGCAGCCGCCACCTGATCTTCCGCGGATCCGTAATGGAAGACGAGTGAGCAGTGTCGCTGTTCGATCCAGCTGCCCTCAGCACGCTCCTGGTAGTAATCCAGAATCTGTAGCACCGCTGTCTTCCAGGCATCCGTCTGAGTCTTGTCCGTCAGCTTGAGCCAGGTTTCCGAATTTGGCTCTCGCACGAAACAACCATTCTCTGCGATCAAGCCCAGGCCAGTGACCAGGCGAAACAGGCGCTCCATCTCTTCGGGCATACGGGCACTCATCACGTACACCACATTGCGGGGATCCTCCGTCAGCTCTGCTAGCGTAGTGATGGCTCGCTGAGGCGTAGTCACGATTATGCTCTTGGGCGACCCCCAAGATGCAAGGGTGCCTTCATAATCCACAATTATCAATCGACGATTCGACTTTTGATACATCTCCTCCAACTTGTTCAACTGTAAGCGTGGCACTGCCATTATTTCACGCGACGATTGCTCGTTCCAGACACGGTTCAAGGTCTCACTGAACGACTTGACCCAGTTGGCCGTTGAGTTCTGCAGCACTGCCTGGTGCATTTGCGTCCAGACCTCCTTCCGCTCTGTTTCACTCCGCGACAGCGCCGTGTGGATCGCCTCCGCGCATTGCCGGTAATCCCAAGGATTGACCAGGAGCGCATGGTTACCAAAGACAGACGCGCTACCAGTGAACTCACTCAAGATGAGCGATCCGTATTTCTTGTTGTTGCCCCATTTACCGTCCTGGCAGTAGACGAACTCATGACTAGTCAAGTTCATACCTTCACGTAAGCTTGTGATGATCAATGCGTCAGCGAGGGAAATCAGCGCCAAATACTGAGGGAAGGCCAGGTCCTGTTTCAAGAAGACCAGTGGCTGGTGGGCCAGCGTGGAATGCGTTGAGTTAATCCGCATCGCAATGTCAGAGATGGTGGCCTCGAGCTCGGGCTGCTCGGTCGTGCTTGTCGCTACTTGAATCAAAACAACCTGAGTCATCGTTAGGAACCATTATCACATGCTAAGGGACAAGCTAAGGAACAAGAAAGAGATCGACTGATAACCATACCTGATCACGCCATTCGGGATATGTGTTGAGGAAAAGCTCATAACTCAACAACTTTTGTCGGATGCCTCGGACCTGATCGATCTTGTCACGCGAAACTATGAGACGCTTGCCCTCGTAGCGCTCTGCGATGGTCTTGATCCACCTCTCCACATCGGCTGCCTTGCGCCGCTGATCCCACGAAGTTGGGTCAATGCCAATGGAGAACTTGCCAACATTGACGAACCGATCTTCGAGTTGAAGCCCTTCATTAGTGGCCTCTACGCAGAGGATGCGACTACATGTCTGAAGAAAATGACGGCAGTATTCGTCCGTCTGAAATCCGATAAGGTTCGCACCGAGAATGCCCTCTAGGAGCTCCTTGCGAGGGGCCAGACAACGGAACACCTCGGAAGACGGGAAGGCAATATGCAGGAAGAAGCCAATCTGTGCGTCAGGCAGCAGCTTCCGCAGCATGGCCGGAACAAGAAGCAGATGGTAATCCTGGATCCATATGGAATCGCCACGCTTCCATTTCTGGGCGATTTTCTCGGCAAATGCCTGGTTCGTTTTGACATAGTAGATCCAAGAGTGATCTTCATATGCCTTGCTCTTGGGATTATCAGGAATTTGGTAATGGAATACTGGCCACAGGATTGTTTTGCAGAAGTGTGTGTAGTGACCGTCAAAGTCGCCGTCGCTGACATACACCGTCGTGGACCCGTAGTCTTCCTCGAGCTTCCGAGCAATGGAATCCTTGGTTGATTGGGGCAGTGCGTCAGTAGGCATGCCCAACGTGCCCACCCAGACCTTGTCCTCCAACTGGCCAGCATCCGTGGCGGATCGCACAGCATTGCGCAGTCCTCCATTGCCTTGCTCCGCAGTCTGAATGGTCCATTCAGCGTCGGAGAACGAGCTCTTCCGGCTCTGAGACCCATGGTGATCGGTGGCAGACGAGGTCGGCGGCTGCGGGGTTGTGCGTGTTTTCTCCTTGGCAGGTTCCGTCCCTGGCGCTATGGGTTCTTGGTGCTTAAGAATAGATGGCGATGCCGGGAAAGCTGCGCGTGGTCGAGGCTGGTTCAAAGAAAGGGTTGAGCCCCATGCAGGCGAATGAGCTTCGCTTTCAGTCAAGAGGTTTGCCTCCCGATCGGTACTTGGGAACGGGTAGCCGGAATGCTCCAGTTCAGCCTTGGCGATGTCTGCCGCAAAAAATTGTTCGTGTTCTGATGCAGGCCCGGCAGGGGTGATTCCAGGCTTGACATCACCATTGTTTCTCTCAAACAAGCTCACAGCCGCATTCGGAGTGGCAGCAATGCTTTGCACGGGGTTGGTGGGCGGTGGGCTGGTCGTTGTGTTGGCTTCATGATTCTGCGGGTCATTCACATGGAAGTCTACCGTATAAGGAAGAAACCTGGAGTTTCATTTTGTTAATCAGAACCTACACTTGAAGTTGGTGTCTAATTAGGAGGAAGGTCAAGTTGACCACATACAATGAAGCAATATAGATAGTCATGGTGACAAAGAGGGGGAAAAGTCCCCGGTGCGGCCTGGTGGGGATGAAGCGGGGGAGAGGTAAGGAGAAGAGAGCTAAAGGGTGATTAAGTGCTAGCAAGAGATGGAGGCTCGGTGATTGGAATGGAGGCCCGAAGCAGATAGCTTACCAAAGCAAGGTCTGGGATAAGAAGAGAGAAGGAAATGTAGGAGAAGGTGTGAAAGAAAGGAAAGAAACTTAAGAGGGGAAATAAAGGAGGAAGAAGAAGGGGAGGAGGAGAAAGCGGAAGGGAAGCCAGGTTTGAGTTTCAAGTTCTCATGGCTACGTCATGTGAAGTAACTAGTTATTAGGTAGAATTAGAAGAGAATAAAAAAAGAGTTCATGTCACATTTATGTAATAACTTTATAGTAGCTCTTTCTTATCAAAAGAGTGGGTCAAAAGTTCTAGACAACTTTGGAAAGAGCTGGCAGTGTCACGGGTGTAGTTGTACGGAGTATGGTACTGCGCACTGCATCGACTGTAAAATAGTAAGTATCTTACAGTACCTAATATGATAACTTGACCCAAGGTTTCTTTTCACACAAATGATAGGCAAACAATCGATTTCATTCCAGACTGAATCTTTGTATAGGTGCCCAACTTTTCATGGGTTACGCCATAGCTTACAGTAGTCATGGTGGTCCTTTGACTGTTCTTGGTTGACCTGAACTATATGCACTGTACAGTATTAATATATAGACACATATACACATACATACGACGTACAGTATGCTAAGTTATATCTGTACCATGCCCGGTACTGGTAAGAGACGTTTCTAGTCACGTGATAAAATAATCACTGGTCCCTGCACCGGCCTTAGGCGCCAACCTTCTTTAGTTCTGCTGCGTGCTCGTCTTTTTCCTGTTCTATACTCCATACCTCGGACTTTCCTTATCATACCACTCACCCGGCCATGCCCTTGCGGATCACTTCTGCCCCTGTCGCTGGAATCAAAAAGAACAGAAAGTCCAACTCTGTCAGGCCCCGCGTCTCTCCATTTGCCGCACATCCTCGCCGCAAAGCCACGGCCCCGTCGACAGATGCTCCCAATCCCCACTTCACAGATGATTGTGATCAAGGCTTCTTACCTGACTTGGGCCTGTCGCGGTACATCTCAGAGACTGCTCCCGCGACCGATGTGATG